CCCCCCCCCCGCCCGCAAAAGAAAGACCATCCAATGTGGCCTCTCAGTCCTTGGACTATGAGTCCACAAAACATAGAAAGGAAGGGCCTAAAATAAAAAAGGAAGCACTGGAGACTTGGAATCAGTGGGCAGGAGTTAGTGAGATGAGAGGAATGTGTTCAAAATTCATGGGTATGTATGGAAATGTTACTGTGAGATTACTTACTCATGATGTGCAGTTAATATAAACTAAAGCACGTTTTTTAATAGTGGAAAAGGGGTAAATCAAAGTGAAAATAACATAGATCAAGAAAGAATACAAAAATAAAGTGGGAGATTATCAAGAAAAATAAGAGTAAGGACAATCATTCCTGAAACCAATAAATGAATAAATAAACAGAAAAGCCACAAAAGCCATGGCCTCAGAAGGGAACTCACTCTGATGAGGTTCAACAGCTGTGCAGAGTCCTCGTGAAGCTCACCAGTGTGGAGATCCACCAACCAACAGCTACCACGCTGTGTGGACAGAAACCAGGCCTAGTGCGTTCTGTATATGGCCAGGTATCTATCATTCCTCACAATGGCTCCTTGTGACGTCGTAGCAAAAGATGAACTAACCATGTCTGGGCACAAATCATGCTGATTTCCTCAGTTTCTGCACTCCAAGGACAGGGAAGGCATGGTATCAGGAAAGGCGGGTACCTAGGGCAGTAGGGACCTGAGGAGGCTGGTTACATCCAGTTCTCCCTTGTTGCCAGTGACCGACTTTTTCTGGCAAGGCCCCCATTCCTAAGATCCACACCTTCCCCAATCAGTGACTCCTATTCAAACCCATGATTCTTTGTGGGACATCTGCCATCAAAACCATAGGAAGGATACTTTCCACTTTAATAATAATAAAAGGAATGGTGGTCATGCCAGCAACAGGCTCCAGAGTGTTGTCCTTCAGTGGGTTGTGGACACTGATATTCATCTATTAGTGGACAGGCAGCATGGTTCCTTTTTCACTTGCTCCCTAACACTTTAGTAACTATCTACTTATAAAGCTCATCATATACACACTCAAGAAAGTCAATTCCCTTCTCATTAGACGCAGACTATGGAGAAATGGATGGTGGTCTCTGGTTGACGTTGGGAGTCTGTGATGGCTAATCTTGTCACCTTGAGTATATTAGGAATTAACTGAAACCCAGGCAGTGGGGCATGCCTGAGAGGGATTTTTCTTGGTTGAATTATTTGAGGTGGAGACTGTCCCTAATTCTGGATCCTATGAGCCAGTAGATCCACCCTACATCTGGCCCACACCTTCAGCTGGCAGAAGGAAGCTTGTACTTTTTCTATCTGCTTGCCCTCACTCTCATTGGCAAATTCATCTAGTCTGAGCCTTCCTTTGCCAGTGTTAGAACCCACTTCTGGATTCCAGTGTAGACTGAAAACTGGGAACTCTTTAGGATCTTCCTGGGACTCTAGTACCAGATTGGGTCTGCTAAGTCACCCAGTATCTTGGTTATTGTTCTATCGCTGTGAAGAGACACTATGACCAAGGCGGTTTGTAAAGAAAAGCGTTTAACTGGGGACTTGCTTACAGTTTCAGAGGGTTGGCCTTGACTGTCAGGCAGGGAACATAGCATGCCTGCGTGCTAGGAAAGGCAGAGAACTGCTAGCAGCAGTCAGTTTTCTGCTTCCATTATGTGGGCTCTAGAGTTAGAACACAGGTCACTGTGCTTGGTGGCAAGCCTTTGCCTGCCATCTTGTCAGCTCTTTATCCTTCAAATGACTTTTTGTT